GAAACGTAGAAATTACTATACTGGATGCTTGAACATTGTTCAACTGATAAATTTACCTTTGAAACATGTTCCATCCATTTTTAGGGGAGAACATATAACATGTTACATCTGAAGTCTCTCCCCCCCTCCCTGAGACTACAGGTAGGGATCCTCTCCCTACAACCATTGCAGCTGACGACTCATAGTTCCCAAAGAACTGTGAGGGCTCTGGTGAGCGCTCTCAATGTCCATTGATCTTCCTGCTCTCATGTAACTGTCTGCCTGTACAGCTATGCTGAGAGTCTGCAAAAAGCCGAGATTGCGGGTGCAATGTTCTGCAGGCTCCTTAAAAATAAAAAAAAGTACTTTTTTTTACCTACAAAAAGTGTTCAGCAATTTTTTTTTTTTCTTCAAAAGGTGAACTTATCCCAAACATATAGATACCCTGATCTCAGACAAGAAGTAATTGTTAAAAAATAACCTGCTCAGTAAAGGCTCTAAAAACTTATCTAAATCTACCTAGCAACTGGAATTTTACTTTCTCCATCAACTCATCCCCATAGTTTTTACCTTTTCTATCAGTTGCCTCTCCATTTAGACTGTAAGCGCTCATGAACACGTGTACATTTTTTTTTTTTAAAATGCTGCTCAAACTGTTGGCGCTTTATACATTCTGAATAACAAAGGAGCAACCTTTAAAAATTAATGAAACAGACTGTAGACACTGTACATTAATTGATAACATGATATGCCTAGCAAAAGACAGTCTACCTGAAGCAGGTTCGTTCTGATCCTCTTATCTGTGCACTGCTTAGCCACTTCCTTGGCCAGCTTGGTCACTTCATCTGAAGCTTTAGCAATATCCTTGGCACACTGAATGAGAGCTCTCTTGTTTCCACTACCACCTCTCACAAGCCGAGACATCTCTGCCATAAGCAGAGCCATGCGTTTGGCAGCTGCAATTATGTCATTACCCTACAATAGGGGAACAGTTTAATTAGCAAAATAAAATAGCAGTGAAAGGAACAAATATAAATACATTTATCATCACCCACTTTTTAGATAGGCAGCAATGTGCAATACAAATTTAGGAAATTCTTTAAAAAACAAAAGCTAAACCTGCATCCTGTAAAAACATAAATGGAAAAAAGTACAAAGAAAATAAAAAACAAAAGTGCTCTGGTTCCATGTGCTTCTCCCAATGGTTACAAGTATGACAATTCTATACTTGCAGACTTTTATAATGTAAAGGTTTTTAGTGGTAAATTCCATGCCTTGGCATTTATTTTCAAAAAGAGGCCGTTGACGACAAATCAATTCTTTACAAGCTATGATAAAATCAGGTTTACTCTGCTTTTGAAAATTGGCACACTTCAGCACTTTTTGGAAGTGATGAACATTTACCTCAAATTGATGCCATTGAGAGGAGCTGGAAACGAGAGGCGAGATTTGCAAAACTGCAGATACCATTGTATGTATGTATAACAAGTAACAATTTCCAGGCTTAACATGGTTAAATCAGTGATTCGCCAGACACTGCAGGGCAACATTCACACACGTTAAGTGAGGTGCGCAGGATTACGGATGCTGTTAACACAACGGATGTTGCCTTAACAAATCTGTACACTAAAAACAGACGACAGTGCAGACTACAAACAGCAGAGCCGTCCCACACACGTGTCCCCCCCGCCAGACTGAGCGATATGGAGATAGTGCAGGCTGTGGGTTAGTATCAGACACTGCAGTACTGTCATGCATCAGTGAACACATTTAGTACACACCTGGAAGGAAGATTGTTAGAGAGTGAAAATGGTAGAAAGGCTCCCTATTGAAGGGCCCAAGTAACCCTATCCAAAGAACAATGAAGACATGTTAAGCTCATTTTATGTACTTGCCATTTAGGTCAGTTTTAACATCACTGTTTTGCAAGAATTACTTCTATGACCAGATTTTCTGTCATTCGTAAAAAAGGTGAAATACATATTGTAGACCTGGTTTATACTTTAACATACCATAGTAGGAGGAGATGATAGGTGACCACTTAGAAGTTCCATTTGTAACACCTATTTCCCATATAAACAGGAGTCTATTGTGCTTGTGTAAAATACGGTTTTAATAGCTGGCCAGTGAAGGATTCTGGGTAAACCTGCTTTAGGCCTCATTCTCATTGGGCGTATAAATCCATAACCAGTGTGACCTGTGTATGTGTTAACCTGCATGGGAAGGCAGAGGTATTCAGTGCATCCCCATTGAGTCAACCGAGACACAGCCACTGCTGCCAATGTGACATCTCTGTGGGTGCACAACCCCAGACACAGCAAATGGGGCACTTCATACAGTAAGTTAAACTGTTGACTGTAACATAACTATTAAAGGGTGCAACAGCATAACATGTAGGATATGTAGCACTGAGCAGCCCCAGTCTCATTAAATCATGATTATCAAGAACATGGTCTCTCTACATCTTCCTCTATGAGTCCCCCTGTAACCTGTCAAGTCTTATGTTGAGAAATGTGTGATAATGTTACATTGTATATTTTAAAGTAGTAAAGTGTTATTTTACCATAATACTGTATATACCAATGGGCAGACCAAACCAGTACATGCCCTCATACGTGCAGTAGACAGGGATTATATATTGTTGGCACAGTAGCTCGTTTTCTTCTTAAAAGGGTCAATGTGACCAGTAAGATATTTTCATGACCGGAATATTAATACCTCTAAACTATGGTCTAGTGCTGACACCTCATCGCTCTGCACATGGTCATCTCTAGGACCACACATTCATTATGCATTGTGTAGAACATCTTGCAGGCAGGATACAAATATGTAGAGCAGCCTTTCTCAACCAGGGTACCCAGGCGCCCTGGGGTGCCTTGAGGTTTCTTCATGCATGCCTTTGCACAAGGTCTAAAATTGCCCAAAACTTGTATACAAGTCAGCAGGTAGAGCAAGCCTGCCTTTTAGTTACACAAAGCCACAGGTTTTCATAGTGCACCAATATGACCTTCTAGCTGCCAGCATCCTGACAATCAATGACATCAGTTGATGAGGATGTCAGCTGCCTGCACAGAATCCTAGTTTGACCCTCTCCATCAGTGCTGGGGTCACATTATCTCAGTGATGGAGAAAAACTGATGGAAAAGAAAAACACCAGAATACTAGTCAGTACCAGTTGTGCAAAAGTGTATTGGCTTTGGAAGAATAAATCACCTCTAATGTTGGGTGTCCTACATGTGTGCATATTGCTGCATCATATAAAACTATTAGAATAGGTTTTTTACATTTTAGAATCGGTGCCTCAGGACTGTCCATAATTTTAGAGGGTGCCTTGACTGAAAAAAGGTTGAGAAACACTGATATAGAGCAATAAGCAACTCTCAACGTTGGAGTTCTTTATAAATAAAAATGTTACATTGGGAGGGTTACAGAAAATGTGAAAAATTCCATTCAGATATAAAAAAAAAATGTATTTATTTTTTTACAGTATGGCCATTAAAGCTGACAAGATTGTCATTACAAAAAGCAGTAAACTGTAATTCTGATGTGACAAACTGTACCTTGTGGATTTCTGGGAGTTGTGATATAACCAACCTTCTGGTGCCCATCCAGTCATAGAACAGCTACAACCTATTTTCCTGTTACCAATAGGAATATGCCTTGTTGTATAACCAAATACATGGGCCATATAGGAATACTGTTCTTAAAAGGGGAAGTTTCTCGTTTGCCTCTTCACCCTCACCCAAGCGGAGGTTCATCCCCACCACTTAGCGCGCAGCCTTCTGGGACACAACACAGGTCCCAGAAAACAGTGAGGCCATAAAGTGCAATGTGACTCGAACATGCGTAATGGTTAGCCAGCTGTGAGGCCTGAAGGCTTCACAGCTGTTTTCCCTTAGTTAAGATGCTGGTGCCTGGACCCGAAGCCCATTGAAGAATCGGGACAGCGCTGGATCCCTGGACAGGTAAGTTTCCTTCTATTAAAAGTCAGCAGCTACAGAATTTATGGCTGCAGACTTTTTTTTTTTTTTTTTTTTTTTTTTTTTTTTTTTAGGGGGGGGGGGGGGGGGGGGGGGACTGGAGCTTCTCTTTATATGATTGTAACTATATATGTTTTTGACTGAGTTTCCATTTTTCATGAAATGTCAGCATCTAGCTAACCAATTGATGTGGCTACTACTGGGGAAGGGGTATTTTCTATATTCTGAACATATTCATTTTATCTCATACCAAGTGATTCAGTATCCAGGGAAAACCATTATAAAAGATATGCCTCCAGTCAATAATACTAATTTGTGGGATCGAGAATCCACATCTGTTATAACTGATCATGTCAAGAACTGTGGGCAGCCATGCAAAAAATAAAAATGGTTAATTACGTAGTCTGCCAAATAGAAATTGTTAAAAGCACATTAAAAAGGGTACTTTGGATGGCTGAACATTCTCCTTGAGGGCTCGTCTGTTAGTATGCACTGGATGGGATGGAGATAGGATACTGGTTACCAGCATACATAGGAAAACAGAGATTAGACAGAGGAGACATTCTAGCTGCAATAATCTTTAATTGTATCCAGTACCAAGTTGTTGTATTCCATTTTGAAGACGTGGTCATGTAAAATGTTGAATACTTATATTAAATGATACTATCACCTATCTCCAACACAGTATAATTATTATTGAACAACTAACCCAACATATATATCTTGATACACAAAACATACACAAGCCAAAATCCACTGAGGAAGCCATTCATGGGCTCGCAGACACAAGCCAGCACAGGTAAACAAAACACTCAGCAAAACTCTCAGCTTGGCGCAGACGGGAGGCGCAAACCGTGTCATGGATGGAGGGAGAGGGGTGGGATGCACATGGCACGGTGGAGGATGCATATTTTGTAACCATTGAATACCTTACTGGACCATTTTGTAGCTTCCCGGTGTAAAGACTGAGCTGCGGCCAGCATTGGCTGGTTCACAGGCTGCCCCTCAGGTACTAAGAGCAGCTCTGGCTCATAATCATCTTCAAACGTCAGAGGAGAGGACAAATTCTACTGACGCTTCCTCCTCCTCCTCCTCTTCCTCACGCTCCTGCTCTACCTCAGACACAACGGCTTCTGTACCCTGCGGGGTAGCAGGAGCAGGGCTTCCAGGTGACTGGGAGGGCAGGGAGGGGTAAAGAAAGGGGGACAGGTTAGTATCAGAAGCAGAGGTGGGAAAGGAGGGCAAAGGGCTGACTGCTCCAGAAGCCAAACCATATGACTACTTGGGTACATGTATGCACATTTTTCTTTCAGCTGTCTATAGTAGAACCATGACAATATAATTGGAACGTTAAACAATAATATGAAATGAATCAAAATACACGTTTATGAAATTCCAAAAGGTAAGCGAAGACTAAGATCTAAATAAACACAATAGATTAAAAGCAAAGCCCACCCAAAATGAAATGTAAATGCACATCACAAGGGTAAATTACTACCTGTCTTCAAGCAAAACTAAACCCTCTTCAACCTTACCGCCAGGGAAGCTGCCCTCTTAGCCTCTCTTTGCTCTGCCGTTGCCATGGTGCTGCTCATGTGATCAGTTATGACACCAGCCATTTCATGGCTTGACAGTTCAGTTGACAGTTGAAGCTTGCACGTTTGGTGGCACGGCATGCCTTGAACGTAACTGTTTTGGGAAACCGTTAAATCGATGGGTTTAGTTCACCTTCAATGTACCTCCCGTGGACTTAAACACACGTTTATAGTGTGTAGCCCAATTTTTAAGCACTGGATAGCATAGGGAAGGTTTAGGAATCCTGCAAAGTGTTTTCCCATTTTTGTTTTACAAGATTCTTCATCCCCATCACAGGTTTTTATTGCTGCGTCCTTGATGTGGAGATTTATCCCCTCTACGAGGGCTGGTGAACACAGTCACAAAGACTTTATGGGAAATCCAAGGTATACTAGTTTTCATTGAAAGAAGAATAAAGAGCCCCTGCGTGGGCGTACCTTTTGCCCTGTTGGCGTTAGAGCACTGTTTTTCCTTTTTTTTTTATTTTGCATTTTGTTTATCTGTGCAATTGATAGCCCCTGCGTGGGCGTGTTTTATTGCCTCTGTTTTATACTGTTTAAAAAATTAATAAAAACCATTGAAATAGAAAGAAGAATAAAAAGGAAAAGTATCCAACACCTAAGAACATAGTTTCCCTCACACAGAGATTTCCTTTCTACCCATGTCATCTGTGGGGTAGAAGGGGAATCTTTTTAATGGGACCCGTAAAAAGGTGGTTAAACCATTCCCATTTCTATCCATCCATCCAAGATCTTTATTATTGCTTTTATCACTTGTCATCAACCACAAAAGGTTAACAACTGATTTTGGCAACTAATGAAAAATTGTCTGTCTATGGTTTCAGATACATTGTAGAATGGATTCATTATGCATGACTGCAGTATTCATATTAAAGATTTATAGGGAGCACAAAAAATATTTACATGAATAAATGATTAACCTGGTGTGACTTTGGTGTGTGTGCATAAAACAAGAGAGAGCTCTTTGCAGTCATTCAGCATAATAAGGCCATGGACAAAGTAATCAATTAACTGTCTTTGGATGGACTTGGCTTTCAATGGCACTTTGAGGAGCAATTTAGTTTACATTGTTAACAAATATCTAAAATCCTTACAAAAGGACATCATTCTTCTTTGATGTACGTCTAAGCTATATGTCAGACATAGCAATAGGAAAAGCTTGAATGTATTGCAACACCAACTTTTAGTCCCTCTCCACTGGCCTTATTACATGAATCTCAGAACAAAAGTAGAGAGCATGATGTCACTGCCCTTCTCTCAACCCATCCAGAGAACGCTTTGCATGATCTGTGCGTGGCGCCCAAGCCAAACAACCAACCTTCAGTGTTCAGGAAAACAGGACAGCCACTTGGCATGGGACCCAAAAGCTAGTAAAGATCACTGTAGTAGCGTTGTCTACTACAGTGATTTCCAGGTTCTGGAGGGATATCACAGGTATGGTATATGCATAAATACATTGGGCCAAACTGGACTATGTAACTATGTTAAAATATCCATTGCTGTATTTTTGCTTTAAGTAAATGTATAAACCAATAAACATCACTGCAATTCCAATCTGCAACTTTCATATCCATTTAAATGTATTAACACCATTAAACATCCATTCAATTTAAAAGGTTTCCAGCCAAGTTTTTGTCTACAAAACCCATTGCACTCGTGGTATAGAAAGCAAATCATTTAATAGTTTAAAGGATATTTCATATTCAGGTGCACACAACTGAGCTATCCTCAAATGCTGGCATAATACTAGGTTACTAGTATTACTGAGATGACTCACAATCAATGTAAATAGGAGCAGTAGGAAAGCTCAAGTACTGATCAGAAAAGATCATCACGCCTACACTTGTGGTCATCACAAGAGGTCCTGGATAGGAAGCCTGCAGTGATATTCTTTCTAGGAAATGCACTTCAGCCCTTCTGTTATTCTGTATCCATCCCAGCAAAACATGATAATACAGCCTTATAGGACAACTGTCATAAAAGAGGAGCAGAAGCTGCCATTGCTGATTTCTTCTTTTGAAAATACTAGCTTTCTTAAGCTTTTTTTCTTGCTTTAGTTCTTTAGTTCCAATAATCTGGAACAAGCATGCAGATTTTACAAACCTGATATGCTTTTTTTTTTATTTTATTTGAGTCAGTGACCCAACCAACCAGTGTGTCTCTTGGTTTTAAAAGAAGTGTGTTAAAAATATCACACAGGTAAGCAATATTCAAAAGGTCTGAAATGGCAGCCCACGTATTTCCCCCAAAGACAGGTTTACTTTAAGGCCTCATTCACACTATGGTGCAGAGATGTGAGTTTTTTTTGCACGCGCTCTGCAAGGGCACAAAGAAAACTGTTCTCTATGTGCCCTGTACACACCACAACACTGGTATCACGCGCAGATTTTTTTCTGTGCAGGAATCTGCAACCTGTGTAAAACTCATTGAAATGTGCATGAAAACTGATTTGGTGGCACGTTTAGTGTGAATAAGGCGTAAAAAGTAAGCTGGATATGCCATTTAGAAAAACAGATTTAAAGGAAACCTGAATGGAGCAGCACAAAACCATACTCTAATTTTAAAGCATCATACATAAAATTCACAAATCGGAGATGTAAAAAGGTTGCTAATCTACACATTTAAAAGAAAGAAAAGGAGACTTTTCAGCCAACCCCAATATAAACCTTTATCGCCATATAAAGTGCTCCCTCTCATTGTAGGTCACTCATTGAAGGGTTTCATAGAATGAAGATTGAATTAGTGGGTTAATATCCCCAGGCAGTTAAACATGCTTCTCTTGGTCAGTATATTGTACTTTTACACAAAACCCATTTCTGTCAGCTGGTGATAAATTCTATGGTTTACCATAATGCAGAACACAAGATGTACTTGAAAGTTTAGGACATTTTAATGGCTGCTGTGTAGGGTTTCTCAAGAACTGTCCTTCAGGTCATGCTTTCAGGATTTCTTAAACAGGATGAGGTCAGAAATTACCACGGATATCAACATTAAAGGAAATCCTGAGGACACCACTTTTTAATGGAACTCAGGCTTCCGGAGAAATACTACAACACAGATAACAAGCTGGATAGAAACATTCTGGCTCTTTGGTATTGTGGTAATGTGTAACATACATCTTCTGAAGGAAATATCCTCCAGAGCTCATAGCCTTCCACCACTTATGTATATCATCCTAATTGAAAATTACCTTGCTGGACCATTTGCGTGCTTCTTCGTGAAGCTGTCTTGCAGCCACCATCATTGGTTGATTGACTACCTCGCCAACCTTCATTTCAGGGAACTCCTCATCCTTCTCTTCAGGAGGTGGGGGCCTGGGTGGTGGAATCTCTCCCTCAGGAAGAGGTGGTTTGGGAGGTGCAGCCTCATCAGTCAGCTAGGGGAAAGACAACGTAGTAGAAAAATGATTCAGAGAACATGATAATAAATAACAACATGGAAATCACTGATAAAATATTAACAATGTCTATAGAGAATTTTACAGCAGATATTACATTTCTAATGCCTTTTAAAAGCAAAAATGCATTCTATGTACAGTAATACCTCGGTTTACAAACGGTTAACTTAATTTTCAGAAAATCCATTGAATATAATGCCTTGGTTTACGAATTTTTCTCACAATACGAAGTTTTAAATGCAATTGCTAGCTTTTTTTTTTTCTCTTCACTATAGCTCACAAGATAAGCTAATTTCCCGGAGTTTTGTTTCTTTTAACTAAAAGGAAACATTGTTTCTCTTAATTGTGGTGAAAGTGACAGCTGAATTTTTGAGCTATAATGAAGAAAAAAAAAAAAAAAAAAAAAGAGCGGCACCATAATAAATTTAAAAGATAGTGTGGGGTCCCCCCTCCCAACCATACCAAGCCCTTCAGGTCTGGTATAAATTTTGAGCGCCCCCTTCCTGAACCATACCAGGCCACATGCCCTCAACATGGGGGGGTGCTTTGTTGATGGGGACAAGGGCCTCTTCCCCACAACCCTGGCTGATGGTTGTGGGGGTCTGCGGGCAGGGGGCTTATCGGAATCTGGAAGCCCCCTTTAACAAGGGTGCCCCCAGATCCTGCCCCCCCTCCCCTCCATGTGAATGAGTATGGGGGACCCCTACTCATTCACAAAAAGTGTAGTGTGAAAAAACGACAGGACACGGTCTTTGACAAGTCCTTTATTAAAAGAAAAAACTAAAAGAATGTCCCCTGCAGTAGATCCAACGTCAATCACGATGCCCGCCGTCCCCGCCGCTGCCGACCTGAAAAAAAGAATTTTAAAAAAGGCTCCACTCCCGATGATGGCTTCCAGCCTTCTGCCTGCCTCATTGGTTTGACAGTTCTTAAATATGTAAGTGGTGGGGCCACCCAAGGACATCACCTGAGCGACCCCACCCCATGCGACATCATTGATGTCACATGGGGTGGGGTCACATGCGACAGGGTGCCTGGACTTGGTATGGATGGGAGGGGGGACCCCACGCCGTTTTTTTAATTATTTTTTTAATTGCTGGCAATTCTTTTACATTCAGCTATCAGTGGGGAACCCTGCTGACAGCTGAAACATTAACACATGGTTGTCACTAATAAAATACCGCACGACTTGATAAAATAACTCATGCGTATTCTAGTAGCGTTTACTTTTTCTGAGCTCCGGAACGGATTAATTTGTTTTCAATGCATTCCTATAGGAAACGGCGTTTCAGTTTACGAATTTTTCGCTATACGAAAAGTCCAGCAGAACGAATTAAATTCGTAAACCAAGGTATGCCTGTATGCTTATACCTAATACAGAAAGAAGGTTTAATGGAACATGCTTGGGAATTGTGTCTTTAGCGGCTAGTAGAGGGAATGCCAAATATTTAAAATGTAAGAGCATTAACTTCAAAAATTTTTGCTGCGGATGATATATAAATAAAACTAAATTACAACCTATCAAAAATCAAGTACTCCTCCTATATGTCTGCACATGTTGACTAAAAGCAGGCACACTTGATCTTTATAAGCTGCGGTTATTCCATCTGTCTGGAGCCATATCAAACTTGAATTGTTTTTGGGGATATTGAGGCTCTATCAAAAGCAAAGCACAATTGATCTGTTTATTGAGATCTCTCCATTTGGTAAGGAGTGGGTGAGCGCTGGTGTCATTCCCTTGGGAGAGCATTTATCATTTGGATTGATTCATAGTTCAATATTGTCAACTTTGGAACTTTTTGCACTTTATTTTACATATATAGACGTTTTATTGATCTTTGTTTTAATCTTAATTTCCCGCATATTTTTGCACTAATTTTATTAATAATACGCTGTTGTATCTACATGTGTGTATTATTAAGGTTCTAGAAATTGTTATACTTTGCCAACGATACAGAATTTTAAGTTAATAAATTGTATAGTATAAAAGCTGGTTAATTAAACTGCATCTAAGAAAAAGTAACTTGAGCCATTCCTATTTTCTTTTCATTGGATTCAATTACATTTTTGGGGATATTGTGGGAAGAATAAGTACCATATTCTTTTAGAGAGGCAAACACCATGACCCTATACAATGCTTACCCGCAGATGCTCCAAGTCAGGGGGAGGAGGGGGGAATTCTGGCTCTGGAGGCTGGAATGCTTCCCTAACTTTGGCAACAGCTCCTAGAATCCTGTAGCCTGAGTCCAAAAAGCCTTTCTGTAAAGCTTTGGGAGAAAATAAAGAATAGATTGTGTGAAAAATAGTCTCAGAATTATCGTCACAATAAAAGAGCCAACATGCATGAAAGTAAGGAATAAACCTGCACATCTACTAGAAAACAGTATAAATATTATAAATTGTAGCAGAACATCAGCTGAGACTACTTACATGGTGTCACTGTAGTTCTAAAACACAGTACATCTTTACATTTAAATGAATGCACTGTATTACTGACAAAATTCCAGATTTAAAAAAAACAAAAAACAAATTGTGAAATTGTCACAGTGCTGAAATCAGGGAAAAAAAAAAAAAAAAACAAAACTTGACTAATCCTATATACTCTATTTTAACCACTTGCCCTCCAGAGAACTGAATCCCTTTCCTGACCAGGCCATTTTTCACGAAACAACACTGCGTTAATTTAACTGACAATTTCACGGTCAAGCAACACTGGTACATGTACCACAAATAGAGCAATCTTTCAGTGGTATTTGGTCACCTGTGCGTTTTTTTTATTTTTTGCTTTATAAACAAAAACAGACCAAACATTTTGAGAAAAAAAAACCCCACTATTTTTTACTTTTTGCTATAAAACATATCCAATAAAAAACTTTAAAAAATCCAATTTCTTCCTAAATTTAGGCCAAAATGTATTCTGCTACAGGTCTTTGCTGAAAAAAAAAAATCCAAATATGTGTAAATTGGTTTACGTGAAACTTATAGCATCTACAAATGGCGGTATAGATACTGGAATTTATTTTCAATTTTTTTATACTAGTAATGGCGGCTATCAGCGACTTATAGCGGGACCATGGCAGGCATTCCGACACTGGGTGAGACCCAACTACCTCTGACATGCCCAGTGACACTAATAAAAAGCACTGACACTGTACTCATGACACTGGGCAGGAAGGGGTTAACATCTGGGGCGAGCATATGGTTAACAATGTGCTGTGTGTGTTTTACTATGTGCACTGTGTTGTGCTTTACTTTGGAGACATGCTCTTTTGTATCTCTCTACTGTGCAGAGAGATACAAAGCAACATGTCCATGCTGACAGAAGGGAGACCTGTGTTGTTTGCACACATCTCTCCCCTGTCAGCTTTGCCGACAACCGCCGATTGCCGGTCGGGACCCGGTGATTGACATCCCTAGCCTCCAATAGCGGTAAGGGTAGGGCGGTGTGCTCCCCCTACCTGGAAATGCAAATCACGTATTTATATACACGTGATTTTGCACAGCCATGCCGCCCTGTAGCAGTACTTCTGCTATAGAGTGGCGGGGAAGTGGTAAATGAAACCTGTTGAACGTATGTTGATGCAAAGACTTTTGGTAATTAATTTGAGCGATTTACCCCCCCAAAATTATGAAGATAAAGAGTGCCGCATTCTTGTGCACATTAGTGACTTAAAGTACCAAAGCCAGAGACCAACAGGTGACTAGCACTTTAGGATAGAGGATAGTAATGGAATACCCCATAGTTCTCCTAATGTAGCTCCTTAATACATGTACTTATTCTTGCTATTTGAGGCATCAACTGAACTTTTTACCTGGGTCTGAGATGTTGCCAGCTACAGCTTTGGCTTCCAGAACCATAGGAGAGATGGTCTTGCTTAGGTCATCTGAAGCATTTTTCACCGCCTCTCTGAATTTTGGATCTTCAGAGTTCTCCACCTCCCTTTTGGCCACCAACAGGATACGGTTTGCCCGACGAGCAATGCTAGTGGCTCCAGCAACAAGCATTTGGGGTTGCATATTTGCCATGGCCACTTTGCATTTGTCAATATCTTTCTTAATGGCTTCCTCAGAAGCATCCAGCAGTGCCCGTGTGTCAATGGCCTCATCAACAAGGCCTGGAAAATGAACAGAAAGTTAAATATGGAAGGTAATAGTTTAGGCATATATTAGGAAGGAAGAAAATAAAAAGTAGCCAATCTCTGCCAGTAAGGGTGGGTACTGCCCTCCAAGGAAACTACGTAAAACAAACCTGTCATCTTTTCTACATTATCTATCCACTGATTTTTCATGGTTTCAAAGTGTTCATATGCAGCCTGGTTTCCAGGATTACGTAACAGGATTCGAGCAGCAGAGACAACCTATAAGACGTACACATGAGAAGACGAAGAGAGTTAAGAGAAATTTGAAAACAAAATCTACCAGAAATTATGAATACAAGGATTGGGCCCCAATCAAAAAACAGATCAAAGCACAAGGAGCTTTCAGCCCCGCCAGTACCTGGTCAGAAAGCCCAATGCAAAATTCCTTCACTTATAAGTTTTCTTTTCTTTTTTTTGTTTAAAGGTAAACTACAGTGTTTTCAGCGATTCAGAATTTTGCTATGATAGCAATTACTTCAATGACTTTCACATTTTTGTTGCTTGGAGTTCCATATTTTAATTTACAAACTAGTTCAAGGCTTATAAAACACCACAGATGGAGGCCTACCATAGGCTGACTATAGTTTCCCTTTATTATTTCCCACGCATGGGAAAATGCAGTCTCAGGCCTGAAGATTACCTAAAACTCCCAACACATTATATATTTTCTGAAAGTAGAAACTCTGTAGAATAAAATGCTGGCAGCTGCAATTTATGTTGCATGATAATTGAGCTCCTGTTAATCACAATTTTATTTAAAAAAAAAAAGCTCAAATTATTTAATGTTTTGGTCAAATATAAAAAGATGAGGTTACAGCAAGTATATGAATACCAAATATTCCAAGTCTAAAAATTGAGTGCGTCTGTCAAATATTAAAAAAAGGGCAATACCTAACATTGTCCATAGGCAATGCCTTTACAGCGCATCGGTTTACGGTTAACAGTGAATGATTGCCCTAGAATTATTGTTCTCACTCAGGCGTGGCAATAAGTACTGCTTTATTGATGTTTTCATATGTGTGAGCAAATATTGTGCATGTTTGCAATCTTATATGGGTGTATGTGGGGGCAGAGTGTTTTTTACATTCGTTTTTTTAGTTTATTTTATTAAACTTTATTTTTTTTCTTTAACTTAACTTTATTGCTTCCACAAGTGGGCTGATGAGCACCCAATGAGATGGCATAACGCAGATGACAGGTTCTCTAGAAGCAGACATCAGGGGTCTTTAAGACTGGTACTGTAAACTTTGCACTTTACTGTAGCTAATCAAGCACACACTGTATATGTAGAAGTGATTAGGCAGCTGTAAAGTCCATTTACCAGAGAGTCAGCAGCTGGAAGCAAGGATGTAAACAAACTCCAAGCTGTTCTAGCAACCAGAATTTTGTTTAAATGCTGGCACAGCCATGGACATTAAAATGTCAAACAGCAAAAGGGTTAAATGAAATGGGTAAAAACAAAATATAAACCTTCTTAAATGTATGAAAACACTATTCCAGCTATCAGTTTAGCTCTATAATGTTCAGTAACTACGTATAGAGGAAACTAGTCGCTGTAAATGTAAAAGCCAGTCCCAGAAAACCTGTGGGGTAAGCTCCCTGGCTGTTTTTACTGTTGCTTGTATTCCTTCCACAGTGGCTTTATTGGCCGATCCTGCTGCTGCTGCTTTTTCTGCGGTGGCTCCCAGACGAGCAGCATGGTTCTCAAAATTGGCAGATCTCTCCTCAAATACCTAGTGACAAGAGTAAACCATGACATTAGGTGAAAAATGGAAAAGCGAAAAAAAAAAAGAAGAAGAGGTAGGAGACATCCGTAACTGACCTCTTCCCTGTTTGGAGCATCAGGTGGTGAAGTTGCTGCCACAGCCAGAAGTTTAATAGGAGTAGTGGTATCACTGAAGACATCAGACACTTCCTGAGTCATTGCTTCTTGCATCTTGGCCTTCAGATCCTTGAAAACAAAATATATGTAAGATACTCCCATTTCAAATTACGGACAATATATTACATAAAGTAGAACAGCAATCATAACTTACTTTTAAGAGTGTGGAACGGTTACATCCTCTATCAGGTTTTACTATGCATTTGTTGGTCCTAATGGGGACAAATATCAAACAAAGGCCCATTGTCCCTGGCCCTTAAGGAAATTTTACCTCCATTGTTAATGAGGTCCCAGCAAAGCTTTAGCCAGGGTCCAATCCCCTGAAGGTAGCGGCATATACCCATGGATTAGGACTACACATCCTATGTTCTGTGCAGTTATAAGGGTAATGCAGGCTAGAATAAGGCCCTAGTAGCTCCTTATATGGACAAATTCAAAAATAAAAAGAACTCTAGCACACCTACTCTGACCCAAAAAATAAAAAAAGGACAAAAAATTAATAATCTTACAGCGTGCAAGGTTGACTTTTTAAGTACATCTCCCACCCCTTGTTTAAAAGCAGAGTAAAAGTTGAAAGACCTGAAGAAGGGTGAAAAAAATAGATATTATAGTAACCTTTCCTCCAGCTTTTGCAGTGCAGGGGGTGCCATCATCCTCATGCCAACATGATCCCAAGGAAAGGGAAGCAATCAAAACAGAGATAAGATACTGCTGCACAGTGCTGGGACATCCCCTCAGCAAGATTTGGAGTACTCTACATTGCCCATTTATCACCAGGAGGATGACAACACCCTTACCTAGGCGTTACAATTGGAAGCCAGGGGAAAGGTAAGTATACTGGGCTGCATTCTCTCTGACTGGTAGATACTTTATTGCTCTGCAGTTTATTGGGGCACCCTCGTTTTGTAGCTAGGATGGCTCCTCCCCTAGTTTTGGTTCCTGCTGTATGCACCCCACATGGGGTGTCTGGTCCAATCCACATCTCCCAGACAAGATGGATTTGGTCGGTGCTTTCTTGGCGCACTCCATGTTTTTGGCTAGCCTCCATATTTCTGTATTTATTTTCTGTGCCTATTACACAGCACTATGATCAATTTTCACATCATCTGAAGAAGTGAACATTATTTCACAAAACACGTCAAGCTCTGTGGAAGAGCTTGATCTATTTCAATGTGTTGAACATGTTTCTATTATTACTATTTATAGTCCTACATGCACAAAAAAATTCTTTGCTTATGTTTGTGTTTATTTTGGTCTGTATACTCATTTTAAGTGTTGGTAAATATGTACACTTCTGAATAAAATGCTACGCTCTTAATCTTGTCTTTTTGCTTTGACTCATAAAAGTCCCTCGGCCACTTTTTTCTATGTACAGGGATGTCATATCGCCTGACGCACGGGACATGAAGTTCCGGGCAGGTAGGGGTTTTATTTGCCTTTAGCCTTGTTGTGGGCAAGCAGCAGGGCTCATCTGTCAGGTAGAAGCATTCCTGCAGTGCTACCGCCCGATTGCTTCCACACAGCCCACAGTGCTAGTCGCCGCCGCCCCCCGCCCGCTATATGTCCCGAGCTCCGCTCCCATCTGAGGTCCCAGTGTGTCGGGAATGCGGTTATAGAGGAGGGAGGAGAGTAGACACATCCGTTCCCCTCCCCTTCTTGTCCTGACCCAGAAGTGATGTGACGTCATTTCTGGGTCCCCATTGTCAGAATCCCGGCCATCGAGGATGGGAAAGAATGTAATGCAGTGCGATGTGCACTGCATTACATTCAGAGGAGCACAGAAAAACAGAGAACCTGTCACCAAAAATCCTCACATAGGGGACATTTTGTCCCCTATGTGATAAAAAAAAAAAAAAAAAAAAAAAAAAAAAAAAGTAAATTTTTTTTTTTTTAATTTCAAATGCACCCAAGCACATAACTGCCTCCCCTAGGGTACTAAAGTTTGTTGCCGTTTCACGAGTGCACGCAAATTTAAGGTTTGGCATGCTGGATATCCATTTACTCAATGCAACCTCGACTTTTATATTTTACAAAAAGATTGGATAATTTATTACTTTTTGTGCCCTAAAATTAACTTAAGTATTTTTTACTGAAATTTTGCATTTCCTAGACCTTTGTGCAAAAATGGCTCTGGCAGCGAAAGCGATAAAGGAGAAGTCCGACACGCCCCTTACATGAGGAGCAGCCAATCGGTGCTCATTACACTGCCAGGTCTCTCCCGTCCCTGCTAGTCCCCGAGTGCAGTGCTGGAGACTGGCAGGGAGGGGAGGAGGAAATATACAGCGCAATGGTAAAATTATTAAACATTTAAGCTGCCATAAAGCCCCTTTTGTGTTTAAATGCCCCATAAAGCACTTTAGATTTCAATATGGTTTTGGTTAAAAAAAATTTTTTATCAGAACAAGTAGATTGTCATGAGGGACAAGTAGACTGGGACACCAATTTAATCCCTGGGCAAGTAGTTTTTTTCAAAAATTTCCACACCCCTGTATGTATTAGTACATTTGTTTTGGAGCTGAGCCACGCTTTATCCATGCACATCAGCCTGTTATTAGAAGTATACTTCTAATAACTTCTACTTTCTCTCTATGTCTTTAAACATTTATGCTGTGCATCAGCAAAGGGGAGAATGCCTACTTAAACAGCAGACCTTGCATTTTAGCTGCAAGCCCAGCTTTAATATTGATAAATAAACAAAAAATGTGGATTAATAAACAATACTTATGTATGCCTACTCTGCTTTGTCTTGATCACCTTACTTCAGAAAGCATAATCTCTGCTATGACCATGACCGCGATACTTTGCTAACAAGTGCCGACTGCATTAAGCCAAACAGCTGTAAATACTGTCACAGTGTATGGATCAAAGTCAAATGAATTCAATCAACCTTTAATGCCTCCTGGAGTTGAGCTGCCACAACTCGAGCCTGTGGTGTGTCCCCTTCACCCCGTGCTGCTAGCTCAGCAAGCTGTCCCGCCAGCTGCTCTACACGGTCGCACTTTCCCAACATATCTTGGCGGAAAGGTCCCATCATAGAGTTCGCCAGGCGACGTCCTTCAGCTACTAGGCCACGGATGGCAGCCTGACCTTTAACAAGAACAAAATAAATGCTCTGGCAATGCTAGAAGACATACAAAAATGCACACATTAAATCAATGAAGGAAAAAAAAAATCCAAAAAGGTGTTTAGCTGGTTTTTTTTGGGTTTTTTTTTTAATACAAGCCGATGTTGAAGGTTACAGTTTGAGGACATAACTGGTAGGCTTTGGGAAAGATTGCATGAGGTGTTCCATGATTTAAGGATTAACTTCAACCAAAGCTTTTTTATCCAATATTTGGACAGAGTAAGAAGGGTAGGACTCTCTCCATGGTTTTATATTGCATCTATGTTGGGCAGATTTCTCCTCACAACCTGTTCTGTCTGACACCCATCACCTGAACAGGAAGGAAAATCTCCCCAATGGGAACATAGCAACAGAAAATTAACAGGCTTTCTAAATACTTCCCCACTCTATCCAAAATTAAAAAAAAATTATCTATCTATCTATATATATATAATGTTAAATTTTAAACAACTTTTTCTTACCCACACCACGGTCGTCCACAGAGGGATTGTCAATCCAGCGCTGGGCCTGCTCTACCTTCCCTTCCATATTTACAGCTGCTTTCACAGGGCGACTGTTGGCCACGGCACGATTCACCTTGGTCTGCAGATTCTGCAGTGACGTTGCTATCTGCTTCGCTAAAGCTCGAGCTTCTGGTGTGTCTCCCTTCCCTCTGTTTTTTTTTTTTTTTGTTTCAGGAAAAAAGAAAAAGAAAAAAAAAATGCTTTATTTATATCCCGGACAGTAACAGCCAAACCTCCTTAAAGCCTAAATTTAGCTAAAATGTAAAAACATACAAATCCTGCACAAGGGACGGTTACTTAGTTAATATGATGTGTGCCTTGTGCCGATTCTTCTTAGAGGAGAAATCCTTCTCTGTCCTACCTGATTTTTACATTTTTGAGTTCAGCTAAACTTAGGCTTTAAACAAAAAACTTAGAAAAGTCATAATGAGCATACAACATATAAGCAGAGACAGTGTCCATTAAAATTACATACCAAAACAATCAGTAGATTAAAAAATGTATGCATCTTAAATTATATGTACAACTTGACTTTTCCTATTAAATAAATCATGTGCCTTTCCTCTTCCCACCTCTCAAGTTTCCTATCATTAGCGTTAGTGATAGGCTGCCTCCTTTACGAGTAAGGAAACTACATAGACAAGCAGTGCAGGGTCAAGGCACAATTAACAGTACTAACAATGTAAACAGCTGTACTTTAAGGCCTCATACACACTGTATGGTTTTTTGTTTTGTTTTTGTTTTTTTAAACGCTGCGGTTAGGGGCATCTGAATTTTTTTTCGGCTTCTAAACACCCCTGCATATTAACCTATTTGTCCACGCACATATAGGCATTTAAGGGTAGAGAAAGAAAAAAAAAAAAAAAAAAAAACTCGTACCAGCGCGTCCAGGAGTAGCAGCATTTTGAAAGAAAAAAAGCTTGATGCCAGTAAACATGTCTAAATGCACATTAACGTTGGCGATCGAGCATAATTTCACTAACCAGAATAAATTATTCTGGGCAATAAAATGAACTCCCAAGCGCTTGACATGCCTGAACACATTACACGTTTACGAATGGCAAATATTTTTTTCTACCAAAATGCTGCTGCCAAAAAGGAAAGGCGTCTAGGAGAGATGGCCAAACATCCAGTGTGTGTGCATGAGGGCTTATTTTTGGAAGTTAAAAAAAGTCAAAATTTGAAAATAACTTCAGCAGCCTACTCCTGACTATTATTGATGTGTGCAGCTCTGCATATACAATTTGTCATTACATACTAACTTTGAACTGATTGAATATGTAACAAGTTTATTTAAATGTATTGTTTACATACTGTCGTCTGAGCTCACTCAGCTTGCCAGTAAGTGCTGCTATTTCCCCCAAGGAACGCAAGATGTCCTCTCTGTCCTTGGGATCTTCACACAACTCAGCAATCCTCTTGGCTTCAGCTAGGATATCTCGAATAGTCTCCTCACCTTCAGGACCACCATTGGGATCTGCAAGCCAGCTCTATAGGGAAGCAAGAGACGTATTAAAGGAATTAAGCAATACACCCTATAGAAGCTTCCAAAATAAAGATAGATCGATAGATTGATTTCTATTGATCTCGTTATCAAGTCCACTTAAGTCTTTTTGGGACATGGCAGACATATGGTTATAAATCTTACTTAGGGAAATTCATGAAAACTTCAGCATACAGAATCTGAAACAGCTATGCATGGCAACCAATCAGCTTTAATCTTTAGCTTTTTCCGTTCAGAAATATGAAAATGAAAAATTAATTGGTTGCTATGGACAGCTGCTTCAGCCATGGTTACATGTTCCTGCTCTTCTTGAAGTGTTGTTTGTTCACACTACAACCTCAGATATTTCTATTTCTGAATTGGTATTCTTCATAATATAAAATGGAAATTCAACAAAGAGTGGAGTGCTGCAGGTAAGCAAACTCGGGGACTTAAAGTGGAACTTCACTCAATGCATAATTTTGAAATGCAAATATCATATCATATGTACACATTTTACACTGTGTTTTACATTTCTGTAGTTACTTCCTGGCTTCCATGCCTTGGCAAATGATATCATAAATCCTAGGAGTCTTCAAGAGGGGAGGAGGGGTTTTCTCAGCTAAGCACAACCCTCCTGTCTGCATGCCGGAGCCAAGGGCAAATGAATTCCAGGAAGTAATTGCTACATATATCATCTGCCCTTACTCAAGATGGCCAAGGCCAGAAATGCTAGGGGATGTTTTTCAAAGTGATTTCTCAGCAAAATAAAGCATGGGAGACATGGATGGATGAGGGAGTTTGCTTTGAAAAATAAAAATGAATTAGATTGCGGTTTTGGCTTGTGGTGCTCAGATACAATGTAGTTCCACTTTAACTACAGGTGGGTGATTACTGCAGTCAACAAGAGATACAAGTCTTTAGGAGGTTTAACTTACATCCTAATAAAAGCAGATATAGGATAGCATCCTGTTGGAAAGCTGAGAACTCTTTACCCGACCAAATAAAAATTGATTTATAATCATTGTTCTTGGTAACTTCATAGATTGCATTATTTTGTAATTAGTAAGTAAACTGCTTATGAGAAAAGGAAGACTCTTTTTAATTTGATTTGTCAGTTTTAAACAAACCTTAATGAATACATTAAAATAAAAGCAGCTGAAATAAAGTATGCATCCCATGGGTGTGAACTTAGCTTCTAAACATACAAATAAGCAGCCTCTGGCTTGAAAGTAGCCACTCATCCATAACACACTCCCATCCCTCAAGGCAAAGTTGTCTGCCTTTCTGGCCAACAGTATTGCAGGGAAAATGCAGCAGAATCTAGAATAGCATGTCTTGCTTGAAATTCATCTAACTGCAATTATGGGGCCAGTAAAAAAAAAAAAAAAGAAGAAAAATTAAAGTTGTGAAGCCTGTCAAGAGATATCAGTACCATGGCCCTAAGAAATAAACGGTAGGGAGTAATTCCAGCTCCTCTAGCCCACAGAAAACTGTTTCTCATCCGAGTAATTTGGAAATACTTTGGGCAGCTAGAACTGAAAGACTACATTAAAGTTTGGTATTACCTGAGCTGCGTCAATCTTTTTGCCAATAGCCTGCTTAGAGTTTGTCAGAGCTTCCAATTTACGGGCGGCATTTTCAACTTTAGCTGTCAGGAGGTCCAAGCCCTGAGATACTTGCTGTGCTTTCTGCATTGCTGCCGGAGTAGCTCCTTGGCCTCTGTGCCATGAGGTAAAAAAAAAAAAGATTTAAAAAGTCAGAATGAAACCAGACAAAAACATTTGCCCTCCTGAGGATTTACCCCCCTTCATGACCAGGCCATTTTTTGTGATACGGCCCTGCATTTGTGACAATTGTGCAGTCATACAAAGCTGTACATAAATGTAATTTTTTCCCCCACAAATAGAGCTTTCTTTCAGTGGTATTTGATCACCTCTGTGGTTTTTATATTTTGCGCTATAAACAAAAAAAGGCTGACAATTTTGAAAAAAATATATATTTTTGACTTTTTGCTATAAAACACATAGAATAAAAAAAAAAAAATAATAATTTCTTCATAAATTTAGGCCAACATGTATTCTGCTACATGAGTTTGCTTAGAAAAATCCCAATACGTGTAAATATATTGGTTTATATGAAAGTTATAGCTTCTACAAATGGCAGTGTATATATGTGTGTGTATTTTTTTTTAATACTAGTAATCGCGGCGATCAGCGACTTATAGCGGGACTGCGGTGGGCATTCTGACACTGGGGTGGGATAACTAACTGCCACTGACATGCCAGTGACACTAATACAGTGATCAGTGCTAATAAAAAGCACTGACACTGTACTAATGGCAAGGCAGGAAGGGGTTAACATCTGAGGCAATCAAACTGTGTGCTGTGTTTTACTAGGGAGACATGCTGCTTTGTATTTCTCTGCTGTGCAGAGATACACAAAACAGCATGTCCATGCTGACAGGAGAGAGACCTGTGTTGTTTACACACAGGTCTCTCGATTGTCAGCTTTACCCGACAATCACCGAGTGCCGGCTGGGAATCGCTAGCCAGGACCCGGTGATAGGGCAGAGGGAAAGTGGTTAAAAGATCAAGAAATGGAAATGTTCTACAAATGTTTGTTGGAATCAATAACTGCAATATTTTTTTCAGATGTTAACCCAGTACCAAACCAATTAGTGACAAAGATAAACCTCTGCCCAGATCATATTTCAAATGACCTGTAACAGCAATAACAAGCAGCTTGCCCTATATCCACTGACACCATACAATTTAACGGATATACACAATCCTTGTGCTCTACCACAGATGATGCAACAGTTCTAAGGTAGATCAGCATCAGCACAGAGTAAAATCCATAATTTATCAATTTAAAATACAGCAATGTCAGTATACAAATGTAAACATATTTAAAACACAGTTTCATCTTCCTTTTCTAAAGCAATGACCTGTAGGGATTAATACAAAATCAGTGTTGACTACAATACTCCAGCACTGTCCCTTACAGATGCAGTATGCTGCAATCCATCGCAAGTCCAACATGGTTTAACCCACTTTCTGTGAGCCCGAGGCTTCCTGGTATGTTCCAAGTGGAAAAACCAAGAATTACCAAAAGGAGAGGTCTGCAGCTCCGTATTTGAAGTTCAGATTCCTTTTAAAACCTTTTATCATGCTGCTAAGGCATAATAAACTATTTTCTGATGGAAGGTTTTACATACCTCGCCCTTAGATCAGCTACTTGATCGGTTATTTGACCTAGAGCCTTGCAGGTCCCCAAAATGTCCTTTCGCTCCTTGCCTGCACAAAGCTCTCCGACTTTCCCTGCCTCGTCCAGAATCTGACGTACAGCTTGTTCTCCAGCATCACCTGAACGGACAGACATGAGGCAGAGATTAATCGGTGTCAAAAAGCACAGAACAAAAATGATGAAAGATAAAAACCAGAAAATACATTTTATTATGCATCCGTGACAGCTGTAAATCTGCATGGCCTATACCCACAAGACATTAATAGGAAGAGTTATAAAAAAACAAACAATGTAACATTGACCAGAATATACTTTAGCATCCTACAAAATCTGAGCAGATTAGGTATTGCCCAACAATCTCAGTGAGAGATCTACCCATTTCAGACCACTTTAAAGAAAAACCTTGCTACCAAAATATGGGGACTGATATAACAGACATGCCATTAGCATTTCACAAGGAGTTATATTGATTCTCAGACTTCAATGTATTCTGAGTCACGGACTCAGAACAAGCATGTGGCCAGTGAAGTCAGATATCCTGATTTGCAGTCTGAGTGACTCAGATTATTGAAAAGTTATCAATTTGACAGCCATGCAACTGGTATTTTGGGAATGAGAGGTTAGCAATAGCAGCAAATATACATCTCTTAGCACAGGAATTCTTTACAACATACCTGTCAACCGTTTAAAAATCTGACCTTTAACCACCTTTCTGGAAAGCTGATTAAAAAAAAAGGATCTTCACAAAACACACTTAAAACAGCCAGTGCACCTGAAAAATGGATGTGATCTAAACGGTCACTGGACAGCTCAGATGACAGTTACGATAAACATAGCAAATCAGCGTGGCTCTGTACCTTGTGATTGCTGTGAACAAATTACTGCCATTACAAGTGTAAACACTCTTACATAGCTACATAGTTAGTCCGGCTGAAAAAAAAAAAAGACAAAAAAAAGTCTATCCAGTTCAACCATAGAGAAAAAAAAAAGTTATAATCCTATACCCACAGTTGATCCAGAGGAAGGCAAAAAAAAAAACCCAGCAAAGCATGATCCAATTTGCACCTGCTGGGAAAAAAATTCCTTCCTGATCTCCTGAGAGGCAATCGGATATTCCCTGGATCAACTTAGTACTGCTTAAAACAAATCAGCACATTCACAATGGAATTCTCCCCTTTCTCCGACGTTAATGGACTGAATGTTTGCAAACCACAGCAGGACAGAGGATCCATGGTCTGGGGGGTATATAGAGTGCCACTGGCTACAGGAATTTTTTTTATTTTTTTAAAAGGTGAATAAGAAAAACCTAAGCAAACCCCAAAATTATGGCTTTTTTTCCTCTATATTATAAAAAATTACAGAACAGTGGTTATTAAATAACATCAAAAGAAAGCTCTGTCTCAAAAAAATATTTTAATGAAAATTGAGTACAATTTTTCATAACTAAATCTCAGTTAAGCTATCACACTGCTAAAAACTGAAATGGCCTGGCAATGAAGAAGTATGTACTGTATACTAGTACTCAACTAAAGGCAACAAGAACTAGAGTTAATTCTGTAGGCCCAAAAAGCCTTTTCGGTGCACCCCCTAACCATGGTTTTCATAAGCTTTTCTTCAGGGGTAAGGTCTGCACCTTACACTTAGGGAGTCAACAAGGGTGCTTTCACTGGACAGGAGAAGATGTGCTGCTGCAGCTACGCTCTAAGGGACAGGTCTTAGCCCTAAAGTTGATACCTTTCTAACAAGTGAACCAATATCAGAGAGACATACAGAAGAGATTGTATTGATTATGAATTGATTCCATCTTTATTATGCAGGTCTATTACATTTCAGAGTTTAAAATGGCTGACATGTTTAATTTAAGGGCATGTTAAACATTCCACTTACCTGGGGGAGCATTTGGGTCTCTCAGCCATCCTTTTGCCTGGTTCATTTTAGAGCCAATGAGTGCAAGTGCCCTCTTCATAGCCTCTGTGTCCTATATGTATAATTGAAAGCCATGCTTATTAGCGTTTTATAATAAATGCTTGACACAAACAATAAGTTCTAAGTCAATGTCCAAAAGAATTGTTCCGCTTCCTAAGAGATTATTATAACGTTGAAATATCCTAGTTTGTAGGAATGCAGTTCACGAAGAAACAACTTTCACTCATGCGTAAAAAGCAAATGAAATAAACTAAATTAAAAGCGTACAGATGCAAAACGTATGCACATATTCCAAGGCAAATGTCAGGTATCAACTCAAGGCAATAACTTTTTTAAAACTGATAAAGTGTGACAAAAAGGGCCATTGTACAAAAAACTATAGCAGTCTGCATGTGGTTACTACTTCTATTATAAAATTACGTTAACATACATTAATTTATTCCTCCAGATTTAAATGCCATTCAAGCCAACCAAAAAAAGTGATGCTGACAGGAACAAACTTTAGATGCTCATATTTCTTTCCATTGGCTTAATCTATTTTTTCTTAATTAATGTCAAAATTGCACAAGGATCCCTAGCAGTAGTACAGTTTGTCCCAAGCCTGTCACTGTCACTTGTTCTGGTCAGCAAGTAATGTGCAGAAAACTATAAAAAGGCATGTCAAATAAATATGATGAATATTTCAATTATTTAAAAGAGAAGTATGAGTTCCATTTAAAAAAAAAAAAAAAAAATTATACTAACCTAGGTGGATGCAGCATGGGTCCAATGCTGCATCTGTCCTCCCCCGCTTTGAAGACTGAGAACTGAGAAATCAGACTGCTGATCACTCAGTTCTCAGCCTTCAGTGAGCTGGTGACACCGGATCTCTGCTCTGCCATAGGCTGTGGAGAGCAGATGGCTCAGGCTCTCAGCAGCTTGCTGAGAAGCTGAGCCAGCTGAGGATTCAGGCATCTGGATGGTTCCTGACTATGTGGTTGGGGTTTTTTTTTTTTTTTTTTTTTTTTTTTAGAGGCTGGACAGGCTCTGTGACGTCAGCCAAGAGAGCTTTAGCCCGCTGTTGACTGAAAAAAAACGGTCAGAGGAATGCAGAACAAACTGTGGTCCACAGCAGAAGTACAGCCAAAAAAGCTTTGCCTATACTCTTACTTTACCTACATTTTAAGCACCCATGTCAGATCTTGTTAAATGAAATGAAAAATTAAAATCTGCCCTCTCTTGGTTTAACTAATGAGGCAGTAGATTATTAGCTTCCTGTATTCTAGATCTCCCAAAAGGCACAAAAATATTGAAAAGTGACACTAAATTGCGATTTTATTTTAAATACCATTTAAAAATATAAAATTTAAAAAAAAAAAAAAAAACTATTTAATTCTTAAATCAAAAATGTATCGATTCTATTGCTCTTAGCCTCCATGTTTTTTATTTATTTTGCTGCTATGATCCAACTTACTGTTAGAAGGTAGCTACATTCGTTCTCCATGGTCCCAATGTATGTAGGAATGTAGCCACCCCATCTTGATCCCTCCCAAGATGAATTATGGGATTTGTAGTGTGCATAGAGCAGTGGATGTGACTGGGACTAACATCTATTGGTCATTTCAAACAAACAGATGTAAGAGGGAAAAAGAAGTAAGAAATTATTTCAAGAAAATTAGATTACAGGGCCTATAAGTAGTAGATGTATATGGACCATTTTTGGGTCAGGAGGGTGTTTAGCATCATTTTAAGCTTACCCAAAAAGCTACATAGCCCCCACCAAAAACAAATCCTATTTTTATCTATTAAGCTTTCACTACAAAGCCCTATCCTCTGATCTGTGGCATTTCCTATCTCTGGAGGAATAATGCTGCAGCTGTAGTCTATCCATATATTTTCAGTTTATGAACCATAGTAGGCATACCCTAATCTATTTATTTTATTATTACAGGTACTTCTATAGCGACATCAATTTACGCAGCACTTTACATATATTGTACATTCACATCAGTCCCTGCCCTCAAGGGGCGTACAATCTAAGGTATCTATCAATACACACATCGAGCTGACAATATATCAATAGTCTACAACCCAACGACACTAGCATAAAGCTAACAGAATGTTATTCTGAAAATAAAAGGCCTCTGGGGAACACAATTTCTTACAAAGTTTAATGCCCCATCACAAATCAAACATGCCCCTTTTAACCACTCCATACAAAAAGGCACAATCCGCAAACATTTAGCAAAAACTCAAAGCCTTACAAATCCAAAATGATGCCTTATGGGATACTGACAATTTCTCAGTCATAGTAACACCCATAAAATTAAACACAGCAAACCAAGACCTTTTGGCGTTTTCCTCTGGTATAATCATGCACAGATTGGAAACATTATAAACACCATCACACATCATATTAAGGCTTAATGCACACCAGCATTTCTTAAAGCGCTGGATAAAAACTGCTGGTAATAGCGTTTGAGCATTTTTACAGTACAAGTAGAGGAAAAAAAATAGCTAGAATAAAGCTGTTAGGAGCGTTTAGCATTTTCTTCTGCTGGAAAAAGGTTCCAAAAAAACTCTACAAAACCAACTTTTTTTCTGCTCCTAGACTGTTAAGCTCAAAAAACGCTACTAGCCTAAAGTAGTGTGCATGAACACATAGGATTACACTATTTACTTTCTAGGAGCACAAAAATTCTAATAACAGCTTCTATAGCCTAAAAGCTGTTAGCATTTTTTCTGCACTTTTTGGGAGTGTTTTTTCCAGCAGGAAAAACTGCTAAATGCTCCTAAAAATGGTCAAAACAGCTTTTTTTCTACTCTACATGTACTGTAAAAACATTAACACTCCTAAACACTATTAAAACTTTATTACCAGCATTTATCCAGTTTTTTTAGCTTAAAAAAACCCTAGTGTGCATGGAGCCTAAAGCAAATATCAGGTTTGGTCCAGTATGGATTAACAGTTCAGTAGTATGTAGCAATTAAACAGCAAGAGGTTTATTCCTAAATAAGTATGCAGTGTGTCAACAGCTTATGCACCCGAGTGATGCCTGGGTATCTGGACATCTGGGTATCTGGACTACACTTCTTTATCTTGAGCTACGATCACTTGGGTTTTGGTTTTATTCAACTCCCTAACATTTTGGCTGCTTGTATGTTTTATGGCACATTTATCTTAAGAAGCTTTCATTAGGTAATGCAGTAGGCTTTTGCACCCTCTTGTTGCACCTCTAAGTTAGCCTGTGTGGCCATGCACATGCTTTTACAGGCGTATTTGAAGAGGGACATTTACAGGCAGAAAAAAAAAAAAAAATGTACTTTAGGTGCATTCTGTGAGGACGTTATGTGCCTAATTTACACAGGTAAATGTATTCAAACAGCCAGAATAAATGTATATTTTGGCCAAACTGCATTTACGCAGGTGGATAAACATGCATATATTAGAGGCATTTTTCTATCAAGTTCTGGCACTCTAAACAAAGATGAATTGTGAGTGCACAGACAAAAATTAATGTGCGATATGTATGTGTCAATTATATTAACCACTTTCCCTCCAGAAGATTTACCCCCCCCCCCCCCCCCTTCCTGACCAGGCCATTTTTGCGATACGGCGCTGCGTTACTTTAACGGACAATTGCACGGGTATGCAACACTGTAAATGAAATGTGTCATTTTTTCCCCATAAATAGAAAGCAGCATATCCATGCTGACAGGAGAGAGACCTGTGGTGTTTACATACAGATCTCTTCCTTCTCAGCTTCACCGACGACCACAGAGTCCCGGCCGGGAATCGCCGGCCAGGACACGGTGATTGACATCCTCAGGATGCTCAATACCATTATCAGATTATTCCATAACTACGCTTTGAAATTTAAATATAATACAATAAATCTCTGCGCCTCTGGAAATTATGTGTAAAACATAGTGTTGTAAGCTGCTGTACACCTCCTATTTCCAAATGGAAAATCATAAAGCAGTCAAATATTAGGTTGGTGCAGCGTTCTCAAATAATAAAAAAAAAAAACACATGTTCTAAACGCAAATATACCAGGAAAAAAAAAAGTTAAAAATTTGCTACATGTGGCTACCAGCCTACACTCCACTATATTTTTTAGGTTTTTTTGTTTCACATATTGCATTGAAGTTAATAGTTCAAAATTTAACAAGGTAATAGCTGGTAACCATTTGTAGCAAGTTTAAGAATTTTGTTTTCATTTTTATATTTTCTGTATATTTGAGTTTAGTTCATGTTTTTGTGGAGAGCACTGCACCAACCCAAGTATATTTGAGTACTTTGAAATTTAACACCATATATATTATGTTCAAATTCAGAACATAACCACTTCAAATCACATCAGGTAACGGCTATTCTAATGCACACAAAACAATTAAAAAATTAAGAAGGAAAAAAAAAACAAAAACACAGCACTCTGAAGTTAAAAGACATGCTACTTTTGATTGCAGATGTCTTACCTTCTATCTACACCCCAGAACATACAAAAACAATTACATAAAGAGACAGTGAAAAAATATACCCCATTATATACTGGGATTTTCAAAACTTAAATAAAATACAAAAATAATAGAAAAAGTAAAATGATAATATTTTTACCAAATGTAAATACAAAAAAAATGGTTATATGTTGCTTAAAAAAAAAAAAAAAAAAAAAATCAAGCTGATTAAATGCAACACTAAGAAGTGCAAAAAATGTATTGATCCAATGTACAATTTAATGCTTCTACACTACTATACATGCCAAACAGAAGCAGAGCAAAGCTGGTGTCACCTTTAAGTGGTAGTAAAGGCTTGGAATGTAAAATTCACTGACAGGCAGAGTTTGTATAACACAAGAGACCCTAGTGGACAATTTGGGCCCATTCAGTTTGTATGGCTCACATCGCACGAAACAGGTGTATGCACCAATTTTTTGCCACACTGGAATCGAATCGCATGGGTGTTCACACACATTGGATCCGATTCAGCCTATTGCACTGCATTTTGTGAACCGTTTTTTGGGGTGTTGTTAACTTAACGTTGGCATCGCAGCGGTTCGCATGAACGGAGTGAAATTGTCATGTGGTGCAGGGGAGACACAGGAATCACAGCAAATTCTGTGCTGCATCAGTGTGAACCAGGACTTAAATTTCTCAGTAACATCAAACCTAGCTTATAATAGCTCTACAAGATCAGCAAAGGTGCTGTACAGTGATGGGTTTCCATGTATGAAATCTGAAACTACAACACATTAACACAAGGAAACCGTCATGTATGGGTAGGGTTATCAATATATTCCTAGATCCTACTAAAATAAGCACAACAGTTTTGTTTAAAACAATGCTGAAAAAGCATATTTTGATGGTTATCTATTATAGCACAAGTCAAACACAAGGCCTGTGGACTGAATTTGGCGCAGCCAGGCCATTTCATGTGGTCCTCGCACCTCTCCTGTAACTGTGGCATACCCCCTTGTCTCTCCCCCACTCTGTCTCAGCAATTGGCAGCAGAGGACAGAACTCCTTGGCCAAATCCTGTGCTTCTTCGTGAAGCCATGGAGAGGTTTGTTTATGCCCCCCCATCCAGTCTCAGCAGTTAAGAGCAAAGAGGGGACAGAACTCCGCCTACAAATCAGGCACATTTCTGTGCAGCCATAGCAGCCCCCTCATCTTCACTTCCCCTGGTCTCAGCATTCAGAACACTTGATTCCAGCCCTTCTCCGGTCCTCCTCCAGACCCTGCACTTTCTGCTTCCCAGCTTCTACCTGGCAGCGGCACAAGGTAAGGGGGGTGACTGATGTGGGGGGGACCCTAGACATCTGATGGTGTGGGGTGCTCTATACAGCTGGTCTTACAGATACAACATGGGCCCTTTGAGAGCAACCATAATGCTTATGCGGTCCACAATTAAATAGAATTTTCCTGGAAAAACAAAATCCTCCCTTGCACTGGGGCTGCCCAGTACTGCAAGGGTTAAATGCTCATTTAGAGCTGGGGTATCGAAAAAAGCACTTTTATTCTCCCAATCCCTTCCTTCCACAGGTTATCTCTGTGCTGCTAGCCCGGTCCTTACAATTGCTTACCCCCTATGCTCTGGCAGTTTGCAGGTCTCATATCAAGTACAATCCAGAGTCCATAGTCAAGGCATAAGAGAGAAGAGGAGAGCGTCAGGTGAGCAGGGTTCAGGAACGTTAATAATTTTTTTTTTTTCTTGCACTAGACATAAATGAGCATTTAAATCTTGCAGTGTGGGAGAAGCTCCACTTCAAGGGATTATTTTTGTTTTCCCTGGAGTTATGCTTTAAAGAAAAGAAATAGCACTAAGTGTACTGTAGAACCATAGGACATCCTTGGCATGAAAACACCCTTCCTCTATCAAATTTACAAACCACTTCTCACCTTGCTGGCCCAGGCATCTTCATCCCATGAAGTAAGCTGCAGTACCCTGATTATTTCATTAATCTCAGTACTCATCTTATCCACTGTAAAGTTACGATTTTTGAGAGCTTCTTCTACACCTTGGCTACGGGAGCTCTTAGTTGTTACAAAGATCTTCATAGCTATGGAGAAAAAAACCTGAATGAAGAACAAGATTCTGTACAAACTTTAGGCATGAACCAAAACATCAGCATCTGTCAGTGCCTGCTCATCAGAACATACATACCGGAGATCAGCACTGGCAACAGATCTTTCACTGTGTTCATGGAATTAACAAGCATAACTCGATGTTCTTGATGAGTCAACTCTTGTTGACGGTCATCAATCATTTTTGCCATCTTGGTCATTCCTAAGAGAAAAAAAAAAAAAAAAGGTCATAAACTCTAGTATGTATTACTTCTCATCTCTACCACTGATCTACTATAATTGTGAAACCAACAAACAAAAATCTATTCACAAAAATAGCACCTGGCTTTAGTACATGAACAAGTGAAGAGAGGACTCAAACAACAGACAGTATATTAAGCAGTGAGCAATACTGATATGGTTTGGAAGATACAAAACTCTGTCTCTAGAGTGGCTGTGTGCAGAGAAACCTATTGAGGGAGCAATGCAGGATTTACGTGCCAGACCCGGGAACAGGATCAACAGGGAAGACTCCTATTACCCTGCCAGTGGTTTCGCTCAGAGGTATTGCTTGGAGTGAGTAAGAAAAGCAATACCCCCACAAAATAATGCTTTATACAGTGAGCAAAACAACAAATGGGGAGGAATTGTAATTTCTTCTGCTGCTAAATCCAGAATTACACTGCACAGGAAACATCTTAATGAACACAAGAACAATTTCGAAAAATTTTTACAAAACTGGGTTTTATAGAACATTTGTTTAGCTCAGTACATGAAACTAAGATTAAAAATATAACTAAGATTACAAAGTCTTCAGTTTTACTCAAATTAGTTGATGTAAAATGAATACACCCCACAACAAAAACACTACATCTAGTATTTTGTATGATCTCCGTGATTTGTAAGGACAGCAACAATCTTCTAGGCATGGAATTAACAAGTTGGTGACATATTGCAACATCTATCTTATTTCATTCTTTAGAAAACGTCCTCTTTTAAGAGCCTTGATGGAGAGTGATGCTCAACTTGTCTCTTCAGAATTCAGGCATTCCATTGGGTTCAGATCAGGAGACATACTTAGCCACTTAATCACTTTCAACAAGTGCACGATGACCAAGGGCACGGAATGATGGTAGCATCTTCTCTTTCAATATAGAGCAGTACATCTGTGAAATTATATCATCAATGAAATGCAGTTCTCCAGCACTAATGCAGCCGCACAGAAGGACACTGCCACCAACATGTTTCACTGTAGCCACCATGCATTATTCTTTGTACTCGTCACCTTTGCGGCACCATACAGTTTTGAAGCCATCAGTTCCAAAAACATTTATCTTGGTTTCATCACTCAAGAGTACAGAGTCCCAGTAGTTGTCTTCTTTTTCAGCATGGGCCCTGGCAAATTCTAGGTGGGTTTTTTGTGTATGGGCTTTAGGAGAGTCTTCCTTCGTGGACGACACCCATGCATGCCATTCCTCTGCAGTGTGCGCCATATTGTGTTAGGGGAAACAATAACCCCAGTACAATCACCCCAGTTTGGCTTTCTACTTCTTTAGCTAACTGCCGTGAACTTGCATGGCGATTTTCTTCAACCCTTATCAGAAGACTCTCCTGTCGAGGTCTTAACTTCCATTTGATGTCTTTGTGAGATAGTTGCAGTTCCATGTTTGTTAAATTTTTGTATCACTTTTACTACAGTATTCCGACGGATAAGTAAAGCTTTGCTGATCTTCTTGTAGCCTTCGCCTTTCTTGTGTAAAGAAATGATTTTCTTTTTCTCAGGCCTTGTGACATTTCCCTTCCATGTGGTGCTATTGCTGATAGCATGAAATGGGAGGGGTTTTCTTTGTTAAGCAACGCCTTTTATAATCAACCATCTACTGAACACCTGTTAACTGAATAATTAGACTCACTTGTAGTTGAATTATTGTTAATTAGAATTTTTTTGTCTAAAATTTAGTTTTTCTCCTAAGACTTTTATTGAGGTATATTCAATTTTACAACATAGACTTGAATGAATTTGTTAGGAAAAATACTTTCTTCTGCGTGCAAATTAACAAATCTTGTTTGCAATCAATGTCCCGGATTTGTGAGAGTATTTGTAGTAAAAGGGGGCCAGATTATATATATGAACATGAGGGATTCTGTTCACCCAAATAAAGGAGATGAGTTTTATACTGTGTGCACAATTATCAGGCAAGTGGGTATTTTGACCAAATCACCATTTTTTGCATATTGTCCAACTCCAAGCTGTATAAACTTGAATGTTTATCAGATTTAATCATAGCAGGTGAGGTGTATTTGTGTAATGAGGAAGGGTGCGGCCTAAGGAGATCAAAACCATATACCAAGGTGTGCATAATTATCAGGCAGCTTCTTTTCCTCAGGCAAAATGGGCCAACAAAAAAAGATTTAACTGAATCTGAAAACTCAAAAATTGTAAAAAGTTTTTCAGAGGGATGCAACACTCTTGAAATTACTAACATATTGGAGCGTGATCAAAGAATCAAACGTTTGGTTGCGAATAGTCAACAGGATCACAAGAAAGGTGTTGAGAAAAAACCCCCAAACTAACTGCCAAGATTTGAGAAGAATCAAACGTGAAGCTACCAGGAAGCCATTATTCTCCAGTGCTGTCATACTCCAGAACTGCAACCTACCTGGAGTGTCCAGAAGTACAAGGTGCTCAGAGACATGGCAAAGATAAAGAAGGCTGAAACCCGACCACCACTGAACAAGACACATACATTGAAACGTCAAGAGTGGGCCAAGAAAGATCTAGAGACAGATTTTTCAAAGGTTTCATGGACTGAGGAGATGAGAGTGACTGTTCAAGGACCAAAGGATGGGCCCGTGGCTGGATCAGTAACAGGCACAGAGCTCCACTTCAACTCAGATGCCAGCAAGGTGGAGATGAGGTACTGGTATGGGCTGGTATTATTAAAGATGATCTAGCTGGACCCTTACGGGTTGAAGATGGGCTCAAAATCAACTCCCAAACCTACTGCCAGTGTTTAGAAGACACTTTCTTCAAGCAGTGGTACAGGAAAAAGTCTACATCTTTCAAGAAGACCATATTTATGCAGAACAATGCTCCATCGCATGCATTAAAGTAGTCCACTGTGTGGCTACAAAGTACAGGCCTTAAAGAAGAATAATGACATGATCCCCTTCCTCACCTGACCTAAATCCTACTGAGAACTTGTGGGCCCTTCTTTAATGCGAGATTTACGGTGAAGGAAACCAGTTCACTTCTGTGAACAGTGTCTGGGAGGATGTGGCTGCTGCTGCACAAAAAGCTGAGTGTCAACAGAACAAGAAACTGATAGACTCCATGAATGGAAGGCTTATGACTGTTATTGAAAAGAAGGATGGCTATATTAGCCACTGATATATATATATATAGATATATATATATATATATTTTTTTTTTTTTTATTATTATTATTATTTATTTTTCAATGACACAAAAGTTTATTTGTAAATTTTGAGTTATTTCTCTATTATTCTCACTTTAACAGATGAAAATAAACAAGTGAGATTGGAAAATGTTTGTTTTTCATTTAGTTGCATAATAATTCTGCACACTAATAGTTGCTAATTGTGCACACATAGATATTCTCCTAAGAAAGCCAAAACCTCACTTTTACTTTCTTCAATATTCAGGTTTAAGGTTTAACATTTTGGACCGACAGCATGGTAGTTGTTCAATAATGAAATTAATCCTCAAAAATACAACTTGCCTAATAATTTTGCACACAGTGTAGGAGTGTTTTTAATGTGGTTATTAAATGTTACTTTTTAAATAAACGTGAGTACTGATACTGGATACATACATATTACCTTGTAAAGAACTGAGATATTACCAGTGATGTAGCAATTAGTGGCTTTGAAATGGGTTTATAAATGTGGCTCTAACCAAGTTTGCAAGTACAGTCGATATACAGTGTATATAGAAAAGAATCACCCCCCTTAAAAATAATCACATTTTGTTGCTTTGCAGCCTGAAATAAAGACAGGCATAGTTTTTGTTATATGCAGCTGTATTTATACTTATAACCTATATACTTTGACTTTAGGCACTTTACCTCAGCTAGCATATGGCAAGTGCCACTTAAAGCAGATCTTCACCCTCAACAGGATCTTGCCTCCTCTCCCCTCCGCTATGCTAATTGGGCATTCATTTTTTTTTTTGTGAATATGCTCTGGCAAGGGGGCAAGAGGGGGTGGGTAAGAGTGGAGATCTGCTTTAAAAACACACAAAAATAAAATTCTTCCATCTGTCTAGTTGGGTTGTAATGGCACTCGGGTATGTCCTATGTGGCCACCATTATGGACATCCAAGCTTGGACTGGCAATTATGACATTTTTCAGTAAGGTTGCTGTGACTCAGTATATGTGATTCATACGAGATGGTTTGGACAGTATACCACATGAATATTTAAGACTGACCATACACTATACAATCTGATTGTCCTTTCGATCTGCCATCAACTATGTAGTATAAGGGCCTGTCTTATTTGATACAAAATAGAACGATTGCAATAATTTGGTGCTGCGTAAGCATGGAACTACAGGGGGAAAATAAGTTTGACTGGTAATAAAGAAGACCATCTTCAAATCACAACTGGTGAATCACAAACCTGGTCCCAAATTCTTGGTGTATGTCACCAGGTCTTCCATGCTTTCAACCACCTCTGCAACAGCCAGGTACTCCAGAATACCTTTACACACTCGGATTATTTTCCTCACCTGGTTAAGAGCAGACAGAGAATTAATTTTAGCAGAGACAATCCAGTAAACATTTCTGCCTTGTAAAAAAGTTATAAAACAAGGTAGGCTAGGTTCACACTATGCTGGTTTCCCAGCGGCTGCATTTGCATGGGTTTTTTGTACCCACAGAAAAACGCAGGAAAAAGGTCCCTGCAACTTAACCAAACACTCTGTATGCAAGTGCCTTTAGGATTAATGGCACCCCCAAGCATCTCCTAAACAGAAGTGCATTTTTTTTTTTTTAGTGCGGGTGCAGTTAGACGTGCAATTACATGCCTTCCCGCACCGATGTAAACCTAACCTTAGTCTCTTTAAAGAACAAAACTCCTTGCAGACAATGAAATACAATTCCAATGGTCTGTTTAAGTAATTACATAAAGAGTACCCTTTAACTCCCTTCACGCTGCCCTCAAAGACTTTTTTTTTTTACGCTGGGAGGTGGACTTTCACAAAATGTGACTGGCATGATTTGCTGTCACAGTGTTCACATGATTGGAAAGCTCCCTATGGCAAGCAGACATTGGGAGCTTTCTATTATCCACCAGTAGTTGTGTCAGAAGCATGCTCTCAGCACAGTACTGTATGTTTCGAACGCATATAGGCGGCTTCTCGCCGTTAAAGCTCACCTGCTGGGAGACCGCATATATGCATACGGACAATGGGAAGAGGTTGAAAAAAAATGCCATTATCTGCTGTCCTTAAAGCTGGTCATACACTTAAAAGGATAAGTTCACCTTTTGTAACATGTTACACCCCTATTCAGGGTGTAAAATTAACATGTAAACAATTACAAGTACTGTCATCCGCCTGATCCGCCCATTGTGGCAGGTAGTGGGGGATCTTCTTCCCCCGCTAGCTGTTACAATTTAAAAAAAAAAAAAAAAAAAAGTGAATGGGAAAACTACAAGTCCTGACAGCCTTTTTGATTGTCGGCTTGTAGCTCTCTATGAACTACCACTGTGCTATTGAGCGCTGTGGTAGTCCATTGATTTTTTTTTCCGGTCAGTGCCAAAACTGTCTGCTCGTACAATGTAGGAGTAGACAGACTGCTCTGACAGTCTGAAGGAGACCTGCATAGCACCAGCAATCTGCTGATCGCTGGTGCAACATTTTCCTAAAACAATAGTAAATGCACATTTTTTTTTTACCTGCAAAAGGTGAACTTATCCTTTAAGTTTCTTTTTCGCCAGGAGGCTAAAAGAAAAAGAACCAATAGATTCCTCCATCCACACAAACAAATCCATCCATCCTCCTTCCACACAACAAATCCACCCATCCTCCATCCACACAACAAATCCACCCATCCTCCATCCACACAACAAATCCACCCACAGTAGGGACCTGCCACACAGTTTGGCCAGTTCCTGCTGAACCGCACGACTTCCAGTCAGTGTATAGCCAGCTTCAAATTAAGGCATGTAAATGGGACGATTTATGAAAATCTGAAGCACTGGCAAATGGATGTTCTTCGCACAGCAGACTCTTGTCTTCAATTCCATCATGGGTAACAGTATGTCATAAGTTTCATGACTTGCAATGTTCAGTGTATATGAACTGAATGTAGATTTCTGGGAGCTTTGAATGTAGCACTTTGAGGCTTTTTTTTTTTTTTTTTTTTTTTTTTTTTTTTTTTTAGAGGACTAGAAAACGCTATACATATATTTAGACAATTTTTTAAAATGTTCATTAACCACGGATTTGAGAAATGTGCATGCGCTACAGTTCTGCAATAATAAACTTACACTTAGAGTAGCTCTATATACAACATGGATGGATAGAACTCAGAAATCTGGCAATGTATGGAAAACATTTAAGAAACATGAAAAGGACAAGTGTGTCTTATTTTTACTAGAACACGTTCCACTTTGAATCCTAATGATTTTTTTTTTTATATTATGGCTAATGAGAGGACTCCATTTATTTCACAATACATAAAATAAAGTCAGGGATGGACAACAGGGCATGTACACTTCCCACACAATGCTCGCTTCTACACTTAAATAAAGATATCCAGTTACATGCTAAAAAAATACACATTTGCAATGTGGCTAGTCTGTCAATGGATACCTAGTTCTAGTCAGGACAGTTTTAGAACTTAAACATCTCTCCCACATCGTGAAGCCAGACAGGTAACGCCACTTTTTTTTTTTTTTAATTTCTGCTTTGCTGCATCTTTTGTTCCCCACCTGTTCACAGGCCAATAAAAGAATAAAAATGAGGAAGGGTTGTAACAGCGCAAACACTGCAAAGTCCTGGGAAATGGTAGTATGGGTGATGGTGGTATTAGTGGCTACTGTATGAAGAGCGTAGGATTCCGTGTGGCACTGAGGGCAAGGCTTCCAAATAAGCTGTAGCAACTTCTGTAGATGAGAAAAAGGAGAGAAGCGCCTCTAAGTGCAATAAGTCTTTTAATTCAAGTCTAAATGTAGAAACACTCACATGTGTGAAGTAATCATAAGCATAAAAACCGTGGTTAACAATAGTTAACGGTGGGGTGGTAACCCGGGTGAAGAGCCGTCATCTCTCTGCGATGTGGGGAGGTCAGCTCTCGGCTGGAACAGCGTGGTGGCTGGAGGGGGAACAGTGGTGAGGCCAGCCTTCATGCACGTCCTCCCTCAAAGCCGGATGGAACGCACGCTGGAACGTAGCGGCGGCGTGGCCGTGATGACGTCAGATCCCAGGGTGCACTGCGACGCGTTTCGGAGCATGCACTGGCCGTGGAAGGCGGAAGTGCACTCCTTTTTCAAGCAGCTTGAAAAAGGAGTGCACTTCCGCCTTCCACGGCCAGTGCATGCTCCGAAACGCGTCGCAGTGCACCCTGGGATCTGACGTCATCACGGCCACGCCGCCGCTACGTTCCAGCGTGCGTTCCATCCGGCTTTGAGGGAGGACGTGCATGAAGGCTGGCCTCACCACTGTTCCCCCTCCAGCCACCACGCTGTTCCAGCCGAGAGCTGACCTCCCCACATCGCAGAGAGATGACGGCTCTTCACCCGGGTTACCACCCCACCGTTAACTATTGTTAACCACGGTTTTTATGCTTATGATTACTTCACACATGTGAGTGTTTCTACATTTAGACTTGAATTAAAAGACTTATTGCACTTAGAGGCGCTTCTCTCCTTTTTCTCAATAAAAGAATAACTGTGATAGATAAATACCCAATCAGCAGAAAGGTAATGTAGAAATGTGCAAAGCTAAAAAAATAAAAACAGCAGTGTCCCCCTCCTGGCTTGCAGCATCTATTTTTCTGTTTGTCTGGAGGTCTGCTTTAGTCATTAAAAAAGGAATTGATACCAACACAAACACACAGGTTAGTCCTAGATATAGGGCAGCAGTGATTACAGCATAGAAATATAGACACCTACCTCAGCCTCATCAAATGTCAGAAGCAGATCTGAGGTGCCCGAGAGGATTCCACGAGAACCATCAATAAGGTAATCACGAGCTGGCACAGAATATGGATCTGCATGCAGCATTTGAGCAGCCTGGACAAGCTTAGCACAAGCATTTTCTACTCTGGGGCAAAAAAGACATGTGAGGTTACAACAAATTAAAAAAAAAAAAAAAAAAAAAAAGATGAAAATTACTTGTTAAAGAGGAGAAATTTAGATCACATTTAAAAAACATCCATAAATATCTGCTCTACACTAAGCACACAAACATTACTGTTATACAATACACGTACAGTATTTAAAAGACAACTACCTTTTTACCTTGAGCCATCAAAGTATGTTGTAAAGTAAGAGTCAAGAGAAGGTAAGATTTAACAATATTATTAAAATATAGCAATATCTGTAATTCTGCAGAAACTGAATTACATTTTAAAGTTACCTCCGACCTCAGTTTTCACTTTTGCATTCTAAGAAACCCCTACTTTATATTTGGTTTGTGATCCTATTCACCTAGTATACCCAAACGATTAATAAAAAAATAAAAAAAAAAAGAAATCTTACCTTTCTAGTTGTATCTTTGAAGCAGGTTTATATATAAGACAGGGGTGTGGAAATTTTTTTAAAACACTATTTATCCAGGGACTAAATCGGTGCTCCCTATTTTTACCCTATTTTTTTTTGTAAAACATAAAAGATGAGGTTGCAGCGAGTAAACAGATATCAGTGTCAAACCTTAAATTTGTGTGCGGTCATGAAATGGCGACAAACTTCAGTACCCTATATTTTCTATAGGTCAACACTTTTAAAGCTCCTTATAGGTCATCAGTTTAGCGTACAGAGGAGGTCTGGTGCTAGAATTATCGCTCTGATTCTGGTATGCACGGCGATATGTGACATGTATCGAAATAGGCATATTCATGCATAGGCGACCCAGCATGTGCTTTTACATTCGTATATGTCGGGGTGGGGGTGGGTAACTTTCATTTTTTACAATTAAAAAAAACAAACAAAAAAAAAAACGTTTCCCCTATGTGATAAAGAAGGGCAGGGGAGCGGACACATCCGCTCTCCTCCCTCCCCTCTAGCTGGCAGTGGTGAGCCGGTCCCAGGCCTGCAGATGGGCAAGCAGAGCCCGGAAGACCTCACGGGGGGGGGGGGGGGGGGGAGGCTGGCACTGTGTGGAAGCAACCGGGCGGCAGCGCTGCCGCCTAAATGCTTCCACCTGACAGGTGAGCCCGCTGCTTGCCCGCAGCAGGGCTAACGGTAGAGAAAAAAAAAAAAACTACCTGCCCAATGCCCGGAACTACACGTCCCAGGTGTCGGGTAATAGGAATCGAACATCCCTGATAAGAGCTCCCTACAGACAGTTTGTATTTGTTCAGAATAGCTTGCAATGTGAAATTAGGTAATAGAGTAAAAAACGCTTCAATACAATGTGCCACCCAAGCCTTGAAATAGTTAACTCTTTATTATGACAGACAGTACGCAAATCTAGTTTAGAACAGATAAAAAGATCTAACCGCAAAATACAGACAGGGCTCTTTAAGGTAAACATAATTCCTCAGTCCCTCATTAAGTATGATTTTTAAGTGAAAAGGTAAAACACAATTTTTTTTAAATTATGCTATGTCAATGATCTCCAAACTGCGGCTCTTTGCTTGCCTTTATCTGGCCATTGAGGCATTATTCCTGCTACTGACACGAACAATGGGGCACTATTCCTTCCACTGACACCAATGGAGTACAATTCCTTTCACTAACTCCAGCACTGGGGCATTATTCCTCCCACTGACACCAACTGTTTCTCCGACGAATACCAAAGATTAGGCATTGTTTACTCCCACTGGGCACAGCCAGCCCCCCCTAAAGTCTGAAGGACAGTAAACTGGTATATTTTTGTAAAGTTTAGAGACCCCTGTGCTATATAAATAGGAACACATTACAGATATAAAGTGTTATCCCAATATGGCTGGATATACACTTTAAAAAGTGTTACAATTTTGTTACTATTATTTATATTTTTAGATTTGACACAGATGGAAGAAAAAAAAAAACAGTCCTGTTACTTACAGGTAATACCAGTAAATGGCAATAGAAAACAATCTAGATTCACAAATAAATCTCTAAACTCAGAGAGACCACAGAATACTCACTTGATGAATGCAGGTGGCATGTCTCTCTTCATTATCTGATCATCAGTCGTCTGAACAGTTTCCTTCCCAACCTGAAACAAAAAGTTGGTAATGTTTAATGAATTCCCTTTATTTGTTAATAGGGCAAGTAAGAGGTAATCATAGCTGCTGGCCTGGAGTCTAGATATGCTGTGTGCTTACAGATCCCAGGTAGAGTAGAAGGTATCCAAGCAGAAAAACAATATCTAGTGGAAGAAGATGTCAATACTCTACTTTGCTTAGAACCAGATGCACTTTGGATGTTTTTGCAGTAATTAGAAACACCAATTATGAGAAAAAAAATGAATACTTTGCATGCATTGCCAGCTTGAGGCTGTTGTCCTCTCAGACATGCTAAAGTAATAAGGTACTAAGACTGCATTTATTTGCTGGACTTTCACTGGCCTCCTGAACAATGTGCCCAATATAGAAGCTCCAACAAAAAACTAAAGCGCAGCAGATAAGCGCAAAATATTTTGCAGCCAAACTGCTTTTTTTACTTTAGAATGATCATTTCTGCATATTGTACAGCCAGAGGGTTGCTGGGGATGCTGAAAATCGTTGTCAGTATGATAACTTGAATCTTTAGGGCTCTACTGCTGTGACCTGCAATCTGGTCACCCACCTCTCCCTCACTGGTAAAATATCTTGAAGACAAAAATATTTTTAGCATCCCCAGCAGTCTTCTGGAAGTAGTATACACAGATTCATAGATGACCAAGGTGGACCAGTCTAAAGTAAAAAAAAAAGAAAAAAAGAAAAAAAAGTGTGTTTTGGTTTTTTTTCTCCCTGAAATTTGGCTTTAAAATGTACACAGCTGGCGATGTACCCAACTACCCCAAGAGCCATGTTAGCAGGCTAGTATCTACCAACCTGCAATACTTCTTCGCAGGCATTGTCCCCGCCTATTAAAGACTACTAGTAAGGCACACATGGAACACATGGCATATGGACTGATACAGCCCATGTGTTCCTAAAGAACAAAAAGTATAGAGAGTGTCTTATTGAGCACATATTTCAAGTCAAAATTTGAATGTTTAATTAGAATGAACTTTAAAAATTACATTCATATTTTAGCATGCATGTTCTTCCATATAATCAACATAATGAGCCACCAGAGGGAGATATTTACTGCTGAAATCACTCAGCCTCCCCGCTCAGCAACATTTGAGCTATCAGCCACATAAGGAAAGACTTCAATGGTTTCAGAGGGTCAGCAGGCATACAGGACTTACACTGATGAGTAGCAGTAGAGCAGAAATGACCAGGCAGATATGACCAGAAGCTCAAGGTCAAACTCTACAAAAGGTGGATGTAAAAACAGAAAGTATTTGCGTTATTTTTCTTTTTTGGACCTAAACGACCTAACATGATGGGCTCATTAAGCTCCAGATTCAGGCTGGAGGAAAAAAGTTCTGTTTAGCTCCGATTCACAAGGAGATCTACTCATGTTCCCCTGCTGACTGGAATGGACATTGAAAGAGAATGGTCCATGTGAAAGAGCCCATACTCTGATCTATAACAGCAATTTACACCGAAAATGGTGACTCCTATAAAATGAGTCTTTTAATGAAAAGGAAAATACTAATACAGTCATCCACATCTGTACAGTTAACGTGGGAGTAAGCTTCCTTTACTGTTTTGTACCTACAAGTAAGGCTTGCCTGCAGGTACAGTAAATATCTCCTAACCCTAAACCATTTAGGAGATATTTACATGTGAAGCAGACCGTGACATCAACGCAGCAAGCGCACTGCGCTCTCAAAGAACGGAATTCCACCCATTGAGAGAGCTGTACCATAGGAGTGACACCTCCATTCAAATGAGTGGAGCCTGCAAACCCGGAAGGAAAACCAGGTGAAGATGGAATCCCTGTCAGAGGTGACAGGGAGCCACTGGAGGGATCCGTTTCACAGCTAAATCTGTCATAATATGCCAGTATGCAGTGTATACTAGAATATGACATTACCTTGAGGGTACCACTTTAATAAAGTTCACCCCACCCATTAAACCACTCCTAGTTAGAGCCTCTAATTTTTTTGAGTGGTGTATCTTTGTGAGTTTAAAGGAATAATTTGAAAACACATCAGATCTCAATGGGGAAAAATATCATGCTGAATATCTATATGGATATGGACTGGGTAATGTGTTAGGAACGTAAGGATGCCCCATTGTTTGATGGAAATAAAAATTTTCAACCTACAAAAAGGACTGAATTCAAAGATAGCCTGAAAATCAAAGAGAAAAAATAATGCCTCAGGCTAGTCCATTTTGCTGAAAGTTCATTGCAGCAACTCAAAATGGTATTCAGTAGGTTGTATGGCCCCCACATGCTTGTATGCATGCCTGACAACGTCGGGACATGCTCCTAATGAGACGACGGATGGTGTCCTGGGGTATTTCCTCCCAGATCTGGACCAGGGCATCACTGAGCTCCTGGATAGTCTGAAGTGCAACCTGGCGGTGTCGGATGAACCAAAACATGATATTCCAGAGGTGTACTATTGAATTTAGGTCAGGCGAGAGTGGGGGCCATTCAATGGTATCAATTCCTTCATCCTGCAGGAACTGCCTGCATACTCTCACCACATGAGAACAGGCATTGCCATGCACCAGGACTCACTGCACCAGCGTAGGGTCTGACAATGGGTCCAAGGATTTTATCACGATACCTAATGGCAGTCAGGGTGCCATTGTCTAGCCTCTAGATGTCTGTGCATCCCTCCAAAGATATGCCTCCCCAGACCAACACTGACCCACCACCAAAATGGTCATAGTGAATGATGTTACAGGCTGCATAATGTTCTCCACAGCTTCTCCAGACCCTTTCACGTTGGTCACATGTGCTCAGGGTGAACCTGCTCTCATCTGTGAAAAGCACAGGGAGCCAGTGGCGGACCTGCCAATTCTGGTGTTCAATGGCAAATGCCAATCAAGCTCTATGGTGCCGGGCAGTGAGCACAGGGCCCACTAGAGGATGTCAGGCCCTCAGGCCACCCTCAAAGTCTGTTTCTGATTGTTTGGTCAGAGACAGTCACACCAATGGCCTGCTGGACGTTATTTTTCAGGGCTCTGGTAGTCCTCATCCTGTTCCTCCTTGCACAAAGGAGCAGATACCGGTCTTGATGATGGGTTAAGGACCTTCTATGGCCCTGTCCAGCTCTCCTGGAGTAACTAACTGCCTGTCTCCTGGAATCTCCTCCATGCTCTTGAGACTGTGCTGGGAGAAACAGCAAACCTTCTGGAAATGGCGCGTATTGATGTGCCATCCTGGAGGAGTTGGACTGCCTGTGTAACCTCTGTAGGGTCCAAGTGTCGCCTCATGCTACCAGTAGTGACACTGACCCTAGCCAGATGCAAAACTAGTGAAAAGCTGAGTAAGGAAAAAAAATGTTAGTTGCCTCAACCTGTAAAACCATTCCTGTTTTGGGGGTCGTCTCATTGTTGCCCATCTAGTGCACCTGTTACTTCATTAACACCAAAGCAGCTGAAACTGATTAACAACCCCCTCTGCTATTTAACTGACCAGGTCAATATCCCAGGAGTTTCGTTGACTGGATGCTATGCTCTGATTAAAAATTGTTCCTTTAATATTTCTGTGTCTGTGTGTGTGTCTGTGTGTGTCTGTGTGTGTCTGTGTGTGTCTGTGTGTGTCTGTGTGTGTCTGTGTGTGTCTGTGTGTGTCTGTGTGTGTCTGTGTGTGTCTGTGTGTGTCTGTGTGTGTCTGTGTGTGTCTGTGTGTGTCTGTGTGTGTCTGTGTGTGTCTGTGTGTGTCTGTGTGTGTCTGTGTGTGTCTGTGTGTGTCTGTGTGTGTCTGTGTGTGTTGTCCAGTGTGTCTGTGTGTGTCTGTGTGTGTGTAAACTGAACAGCCAAATAAAAGGAATTTTAAAAAGTTTATTTACTTTCTACTAGGAAATAGTAACATTGACATCAACCCTTTATGACACAAGATATAATGAGTTAATGGCTGGTCAGCCCTCTGCCTTTGAAAAGGAAGGAAACTGAAATGTCATCTGAAGAATGAGTTTCTTTCATGAGATGAGCTGGTAAACCCATTACCCATAATTTCCAGCTGTGTTAGGTTCATGTACAATAGAGGGGATTAAAGGGAAATGAGCGCATATTTAAAACTGCCATCTCAGTTGTCCTTACATGTTTGCCAGATCTCCATTATTTTATTAGATATACAAAAATTACAGTTTTTTTTAGGACTATCCATATTTAATTCAGTCATGTGGGTCTCCTTGATTGCTTCCCATCACTGTACACTTTCATTGTGAGAAATTAACAGGATTGTGATTGATATTATCCTAATATTGAATTACAACATAAAGTGTTACTAAACCCACAGCAGTAAAATCAGTCTCTATGTGTCGTAAAGCATGATTGTTATACTCACTGTGGAACCTAAGGGGTTAATCCTTGCATTGTGTAAAAATGCTGTTTGATCCTGACTTCTCTGATCCTCCCTTTCTTCCAGTGTCCCCCTCTTATCTCCTGACATATCATGTGGAGTCACTCTGCACATGCTCAGTTTGGTGTATATCGCTAGAGTGTTTTTGTTTGTTTTTTTTATTGGGAGAGTGCATGTGATCAGCACAGGGCCAATCAGCACTGTCCAGATAGAGGTCACGGGTTCCGCATCCTCCTAGAGCAGAATGAAAACTCATCCTACAAGTTTTAACCAGTGCTTGGCTGGGCATGACAGAAGTCACATGATTGTTCTAACTGCTGATTAAAAAAGGTATTTAGCAGTTTATAGTTACTAAAATTATTGCACTTCCATGTTCTGTGTACTGTGGGAGAGCAGATACAGTGAATACAGGGTCCGGGGATTAGTAAAACTTCAAAGGAGAAGTGTGGGACAAGGAAAAAACAAACATTCATACTCATCTATGTGGCTGCAGCATTGGTCTAATGCTGCAGCTGTCTCCCGCCAATTCTAAAGCCAAGAGAACTGCATCTATTGTTGGGATCACTGCAGAACCTGGACTGGCTCTCTGACGTGGGTCAACGGTCGCTCTCAGCTGAAACTGGGTCAAAAGAGCTTGGAAATAAATG